TTTTCCTTCAACTGTACATTAGCATTTCACTGTGCTAGATGGCTGGTCTGAAAGGGCTCATTGGTCTCTCTCATTTCATTCCAGGCTTATTCTCCTGGCACCCTCTCTTAATGTCACTTGCGGTAAGTCGGACAAGATCTCTGCATTCCTGCCTCCCACCCTATAACCTGCATGTCAGTTGAGTGTGATAGTCCCACTGCCTGCGTCCCACAACCTGCTCAGTTCACCATTGCCCTGCGTCACCTACAACTTTAAGACACAGTGGGTGTAACTTGCTGATGAATAAGAACAGGAGTGTGTTTTACAGCCAGTTCGCACAACTTTGCGTGACTGCATGATGTGCAGTGGTGAATAGGGTGGTGGGGACTGGAATCCCACAACACCTGCTCTTTACCCTTGCTTGAGCCCCACAGAGAAAGCACCTCTCCAGGTTATAACCAGCCTGAAAGGCTGTTAGTCAGGCACTTGTGCGTGTTTCGGCAGTAGTACCAGGCTATTGAAAACATTTATGAAGTGCTTTTGCTCAGGGCGTGCTTGGCCAAGCCAGATGCCTGGCTAGGCATGTTCACTGAATGGCTGCAAACCAGTTTTACAATGCAGTTCTGGTGCTCCCAGCATGGCGAGTACTTGTCACTGTTGGGAGTAAGCTGAGAACTACCTTGGCAACAAGGACATGTCCTGATGAGCGCACACATGCAGTTTGCAGCACCTTAAAGCAGTATGAGGCACCACAAACCACATGCAGTGCACATGCACCTGTTTGCCACACTGCTAATTAGCAGTGCAGCAGTTTTTTTGACACCAGGAGATCCTGGCATTAAAAAAAAAAAATGCTGCTGAAAGAAGTGGTGTGTGGTACATGCAGCAGCAGCGTGCATCATCAGAAAGGGAGCCTGGTCAGCCAGGGTCACACTCGGGCTGCCAGCCAGGCTCCGAGTGGCTGGCTTGGCACCATTGCTTCCCTAGGAGGCCCCCAGGACCTCAGATAAGACTGCTGAGGCCAGCACAAGTGCTGGTCCCAGCCTCCCCTACCCCACCCAGGTCACTTTGCCACATGCTGAAGTGCACACATAGGGGCATGCCCAGGAACAATTAGCAGCAGCACAAATATGTGCCACTGCTATGTCCCATGGGAAATGCATGCCCCTGCATATGCGTGTTCATTAGGACAAGCCCAAGGATGCATTTTCCAGCACACACTTTCTCTTCCTTGGCCCAGCCCTTCTGTTGCTGCCCCCTGCAATGAAAGTGTGGTGGCAGCATCCTAGCCCAGTGGTACTCAACCTCTGGCTTGCAGAACTGTCATCCAGCCCACAGGGCTCCTCATTGGTCTAGAAATTTGGCAGTGAAGGAGTCATGGCAGCATTAATTGCTGCTCCCCTACTGCCTATTTCTGGATGTGGTGGGGAGCCTTGTGGGATAAATAATGTGGCCCTGCATGTGGGGTTGGGCTGGCACAGGGCTGGATTTGGATGCACAGGGTCACAACCATGGTCCAACCCTATGTCATTCATCTGGCCCATGGGGCTGGAACGTTGGGTGCCACTGCCCTAGCCCAAATGAGTTGGGAGGGTGGCAGGGAGCAATGGGCTACATTCCAGGTTGCTGGAAAATCCCTATTGAAGAGCCCCATTACTGAACTTATGACTCCTCCACACTGCAGTTGTCTGTCTTAGGCATCTACACAGCCTCCATCACCAAAGCACCTCGGGGCCTCAGTCTTCTGGTTTCCATGGAGATGACAAGGAAGAGGTTGCAGGTGCCAGCATTACTTTGCCCATTGCATTCCAACAGCTGTGCTAAACCGTTGTTCTTGTTTCCCCAGTTCTCCTTCTTGATGACAGAAGCCCTGCTGGTTTTCTCTCCAGAGACCTCGCTGCTGCGCTCCTTCTCCCGCAAAGTCAAGGTCCGCTTCCATTGGGTGCTGCAGCTGCTCTGCCTCCTCTGTGCCTTGCTGGGGCTAGGCATCATCAGCTACAACAAGTACCTGAATGGCAAGTCCCACTTTGTCACCTGGCATGGCCTGACTGGCTTGCTGACTGTGCTGTATGCCAGCATGCAGTGTATGGGGGGCCTCGCCCTCCTGTACCCCAAGCTGATGAAAAACTGGACGCTGGCCAAGCTGAAGCTCTATCATGCCACCTCTGGGTTGGTTTGCTACCTCCTGGGCTGTGCCAGCCTCATGCTGGGCATGTGCTCCCTGTGGTTTACCACCTTGGTGACTGGCATCTTCTGGTACCTGGCAGTACTGTGCCCTATCCTTACCAGCCTGGTTATCATGAATCAAGTGAGCAATGCTTACCTCTACCGCAAAAGGATGAAGCCTTGAGGGATGATGCTGGAACACTGCCTTCCTGTGATCCTTGAAGGTTCTGCACATAGTCCATGGGGCATTCAGGGGCTTCTGGGTCCTTGGGTGCAGGAAGTCTCCAGTGCAGCTCACCTGCTTGCTGTTGTGTGATGTTTCTGTGGAGCTAGACTTCTATTTTCTTTTTATTACTGAAACTGTCTGTCATGTTGAACCTGCTGTTCAGAAAACTTCTTGCAGCCCTGATCTCAGGGTTGTAGTTTCTGTCAGCTAAGATGTGTGTTCTGTGTGAAAAACCTCAGTAATCCATCTATGCCTGCTCTGGTACTGAATAGTGTCCTAGCAGTACCTGCCTCTGGAGGTGGCAAACAGCTTGACAGTACTTGCACTGGATGCTATGCCTGCTTGCTCAGACTTTGTACAGCCAGCAGCAAAAAGGCTTTTCAGGGCTACTTGTGCTTAATAGGCTCAAATCTCATGCATTTTTTTTCCTCCCATATAAGCACTGGGAATATAGAGGTGACTGAGGGCAGGGAAGCTTATTCCATTTGTTTGTAACTGGGAGCACCTTGCATTCTGCCTTCTAGGTCACTTTTGTTAGTAAAACTCCATGTTTCCTTGCAATGAAGAAGCCCACAGGACAGGTCACTCTAAACCAATATGGGGAGAGGAGTTGTGAGGCTGTGCTTTACAGATCCATATCACAGCATGTAGGATGTGAATACCAACCGGGGGGGGGGGCCTGCCTTTGGAGAACAACCAATACAAAGATGCACAGGCCTGGGGCAGACAAGTCCAGAAGGGCAGCAGAGGGGCTGCTTTCTCCCCTCAAGAGGAGGAGCCTCCCAGGTACCCTAGTAGAGAATTTGACATCAAGGAGATTTGAGCTACTGAGTTAATATCATTCTGTGAAAGGAGTTGAACCCAAGCTGGGAGTGCAGATGACCAACTCCATACCCATCACCTTGGGTTTGGTACTATCAGTGTTGGAAGCCCCTGAATGGAGCAGAGTCCATTAAAGGTCTTTCCTGCATACAGCTGCCTGGCAAAGGACAGCATGTCATCTGAGGTCTGGCTCACCCTCTGCAGCATTTGCTGGGGCCTGGAAAATTTAATTACAACTGTGGCAGAGACTCAGTACCTCACTATATCGGAATATAGCTGCACAAGGGCCTCTGCTTATGTATGATTTATAAAGAAGTTATCTCCAGGCTTAAAAGTCAAGTGACCAACCCAGGAAAGGGAGCATCTCACCTTGTGGCAACTTATGCATGCAGGGCTGGAGCTGTTGCCGAGCTAGTTTGGACACGGAAGGGAAAGGGGGGGGCCTCTCTCCCCACTATGTCAACTTGGAGCACATCAGCATAACTAGCTTTACTTAACAGGTAGGGGAACTGACTTACCTGGGGTCACACAATGAGTAGAGCTAAGAATAGGGCAACAGTCTCCAGGAATGGAGGCAGTGCTGCTAAACCAGCTTCTCTCCCCGATTCTGTTGCATCCTTGAGCTAAAACTCTAACTCACTGTTGTCCTTCCAGCCATGTGAGTATTAGCACCAGGCAGGTACTTGTGTCCCCATTCTGCATGTTAATTGGATCATGTTCCCATTGTATGTACCATACTGTCTTTGATTTACTGGTCACTGGAACAGGGGGAGAGGTGGGAAGTGGATTGTACAGGTGATCCTGTGGCACTGAGGTGGCCAGAAGAGGAGGTGGAGCAAGTAGCTTGTTTGAAAGGGAAGGTGCAAATACTGCTGTCCTGGGGAAGAGGAGAAATGTGAGCCTCCCATGACACAATATAGAAAAATGCACTTTGGTTTCAGAATGATGGAGCTGGAAACTGAATGTAACTACTGGCTTGATTCTTCTTCTCACAAAAAACACATAGGGAAGAGAACACAAGTCTCCCAAAATCAAGTCATTTTTGAGGGAGAGGCTTAGTACATATGGACTAAGCTAGTGTCTGATCCCAGTGAGAGGAACCTTCACCTGTTACTTGAATAAACCAGGAAACAACTGATGAACCATAAGATGTCCACCTTAGAAGACTCAGTATCACATCCTGGAGCATTACCTGCCATACAGTAGTCCCATTTCACATGGTCACAGAAATTTAGTGGCTTAAGGGATGCCCAGATTGTGAACATCCCTGAAAAACATTGCTTCATTCAAAAGTAGGGAGATGAATGCCTTTCCTGCTGTCTGGATACGCGTATCCCTGGCTCCAGAATGAAGCCCTATTTCCACCTGTAACACAGGTGTCATGTTCATGGCTTTCCTTCCCAGTTGAATGTGTTAATGAACCTACCTTACCAGCAGCAAAGTCCCATGTAGCTTTATGGGTACAAGGGATGCAGAAATGGTTTCATAGGTGGGGGAGCCTCAATCTATTACTTTAAGTTTCAGGGTAGAAGAACTGCAGCTGTAGACAGCAGCACTTTCAGCCCACTTGTAAAAGCACATCCTAGTCTCTGCAGGACAGGTGAACTGGGAAAAGACCTGAGCAAGAACAATAAATCTGCATCCAGAGCCTTTTATATATACAATAAAAAGTTTCTAACAGCTATAACTGGACTGGCTTTTGTAGGTGGGGTTGTTGGGGTTTTTTTTAATAGCAGGAAACCTCTTCATCTACTGAAGAAGATACTCACTCATGGGAGAATAGAAGTGTCTACACTTAGCTGGTGCTTTTCAGTCCTACATCACCAGGAAGAATTTAGTAACACAGGGTAAGAATAGCCCCTTTGCCTCTTAATGCTCCTATCCAACCTACCATGTTCACTGGTACAGCACAAACAGGCCAATTTGTATTTTGGGAGCACCGCATTGGAACTGCATTCCTCCAGTCCAGACAGTATTGGGTGCACAAGATGAGTACAGGTGAATTCCACCTGCATGGACTGCAGGGGCCAGAGAGGAAATGGAGATTAGGGAAGCTTCTATCACAATGGAAAACTTGAAGCATCATCCTTTTTCTTGTTCCTTGTCCATAATCTGCCCGTTTCCTCCAGTGACCTATACCTCTTCTCTGTCCTACTCCAGAACCCAGTCTGCTAGGTCATGCTTTGAGTCCTGATCTCCAACACCACTTGCTATTTGCAGCCTGCTGCATCTCCCTTCTAATACCATTTTCCTGCATTCTGCACAGAACTTGCTAGTCCAGTTGTGCCCCCACCAGTTTTACCGAGGCTCCTCACTTCTGACCTGTGGCATCATAGCTCGATTCCTAATACAGCTCCCAGACTGGTTTGGAGCTAAGAATAACATCACAGAAGAAGCTGAAGCAGTTATTAAATTACATGAATCTTCAGGAGTGAACAAAGACAGTAGCCACACTAAGAAGGAAATACTAAGGGCACCCCCCTTCCCTTCACTCGCCTACCGATAGTGACAGAGGCTAGGGTCAGGTTATCAATAGCATATTTAGAATTGCATTAGTACCTCAAGAGAACTATGCAGGCCATTTCTTGCTCAAGAGTCCAGACAAGGAAGAGTTGAATGCTGCTTTTAGTCTGACACTTCACACAGCCTTTTTCCAACTGTCAATTTGTCACACCTGCTAAAAGTTCTTGTCAAACCCTCCCCTTCCAGCTTTAAAATCTTCACAGCCTCCTTTGGTGAGAGTCTGTCCAGATGCCATGCTGATTCCTTTCTGCAGTCTGATGGGTAGTACCCTCTCTTCAAACTAGCTTGTAAAACCAGGCCATGCGCATTGTGATGGGAAGGCAGCTGGAGAACTGGCAGCTGTAGCTGCAGCTCTTTGGTACCAACTAGCCTTCTTGAGCCTGCATCATTAAGGCTTCTAGCACAAAAGTGTGCAGCAACAGGCAGTATCTTGCTTACTTGTCTTGGCATGGTTTCTTCATGCCATTCTCAGGCTAGGGCTTAATTTCACCAGCGCTTGTTGGTTGCCACTGGAAAGAAAAACATAGCTCAGGTTTTTTGGGGCATCTGCCAATACTAATTACCAGTGCTGTTTGGAGAATCTGGTCCTATACCCATTCATATATTGCCTGATCTGGTAGCTACAATCCAGGGCATCATAGGATGGGAGTATCTGCAAACAGGAACTCCTGTTACGTAAGAGAATTCATCAGCCAAAGTGCAGTCAAAAGCTCCATGACTATAACCCTGCCTTCTCTCATACACTAGTCTCTGTTAAAACGGAGCCAGTTCTAAACTACAACCGTTGCTGCTTTACAGGCTTTTCACCTAAAAAAAAATTACACGGGTTCATAAGCAATTTGGTTATCAGATTCAGGTAGGAGCTGCAAGAGGTGTATGTCTGTATCATTACTCTTTTAACTCTCTGGACACTAGGCTTTTTCAATGCATCTGGTCACATCTAGTGTATTAACATACCCAAGCCATAAATGGCATTTGCTGAAATTCTCCTGGGGCTCTGCAAGCTTAACAGTATCTTTAAAACAGGTGCCCAAAGTCAGTACCTAATCAGTGGCCCCATTTTCAAGAGTGCCTTCAGCTCCCATCACGTTCTGTGCATAGAAATCTGCCACAGTACGTGTCCGTCACTGCAGAATCACACACCACACTCATTTTCAAGGAGTGGATAGCTTTGCTCTCAGAAGACCCTCATGGCTGCAAAGAACTCTCCATATGCATGCTCACCTGACAGTGCTGCCTGCTGGCTCAGGGAGAGCCTGAAATGTCAGCCTCACACAAACTGTGTTGCGATTATTTGAGCACCCAGGTGGCCCATTCATCCTGCAAACCCAAACTGCCACCCAGGTACCAGGAATCCCAACTACCTGCTCTACCCTGACCAGCTTATCCCTGTTACTACTGCCACAATAAAAATCAGTGGCATAGTAACTTCTCCTTACCCCATGGATACAGAAAGCATAAAACAAGTACAGTACCAGCAAGGAGAGGCAGCTGTTGGATACGCATCAAACTGCATAAAAGCCCATTTTATTAACTTGTCCAAAACCAGTTCTCAGTTAGCTACACCTAGTGCTGGAGAGGTTCAAGCCCATTCTGACACAGGACCTTGCTCTGGTGTTTGATGCTGAAAGCAAGTCCTGCATCCCTGGCTGCAGAGCACAGCAGAAATCCACAGCAATCCCAATTCCACACCTGCTCCTAACTTCCACTGTACCACCCTCAGACCCTTCCATAATTCTAAGTCTGCGCACCCCTCGCATCACCAATTTCTCATGCCATGCAGTCTATCCAACCCTGAGGGTCTAGCATGACTTAACAGGGTGACAGCTACCTAGTTACTCTTGGGCCAGAGCAAGGATCTCTTATCTCTAGAGATGTAAGCCTAGCACCAGACTCCTGTGCTCTCACAGCCCACCACTGACAGCCCCTGGCCGTGTTTGTAGCAGCCCTGGCTTCCAGCTCTGATCTCAAAAAGGCCAGTCCTGCACTTCTGTTCTTTAGCTAGAAACCATACAGAAACTAGTTACACAGAACAAACAAAAGGATCGCTGGTGCCCTAGGAGGCATAAAGGCCTCTGACACCCATCAGGCTAAATCCAGATGTAGCTGTGAACTAAATGGTGAGGAAGGAAGCAGTGTAGAACAATGGAGAAACAGTGGAAACAGATTCCCTTGACAGGACTTACAGGATGGATTTACAAACTAAAAGTGAGAGGCACTCTTTGAAAGAATTGTTTATTAATACTAAAATTTCTGTGTATTTCCTGGTTGACAAAACCTTCTTGTGTGGTCCTTTATAAAAATAATCCTGACACCATCAAACGTGCTTTCCAGTCTGGTAACCGTCTCCCAGAGAAGTCTAGGGCCTGGGAGTGGCACAGCCTTTTGGGGGACTGGTTCTCAAGAAAAGAATTTCCAGATAATACACCTGTCCCCCCCTTGCCCCTCCCTCCAAAAGAAAATCCCATCAATACAGAGGAAGGGAAAAAGGAGGGGAGGATGCCAAGAGCCTAAGCAAAGCATATAAAAAAACCCAAAACAAAACAGGTGTCGGAGGAATTGTCAAGAGCTTACAATAAAACAAATTCCAGCTTCTAAAATAAAGAATCAACATAGAGACAATTCATCCAAGCAGCAGTGAAAGGAGCTGCCCCTCCAGGTCAGGGGCTGTGTTATCATCTGAATCACTGCAAAGAGAACTGAAGAAAACCTGAAGTAGCAACAACACAAATAAAATAGACTCCCTCCTCTAGATCCCCAAGGAAAGTCTGGGGTTGATTTGTTTTTCCCATGTGCTAGTCTCAAAGCCAGGAGCAGACTGCTCCAGATCCCCAGGCTTTTGAGTCAGTAACTCAAGCAAGGCCACTCCAAGGGTGAGCAGCACAAGCAATAACTTTGTCCCTAAAAAAAAAAAAAAAATCTTCTCTCTCCAGGAATTCTGGCAATTACTAATTCTGGAATTTATCCTGGCATGTTACTGCCAGGTCCATGGGGCAGGTGGGAGAAAGTTAAATATAACAAAGGGGATAAAAAGCTTCCTGCTCTTTAGATAAGTAACACAATTAACTTTAAAAAGGGGAAATGGAGGTTGCAGGGTCTTTTGAACAACCACCATCACAAACTAAGAGAGAAAGTGTTGTGTCATTTGCTGAATTTGCTCTCTCAGGTGCTGAAAGGTTTATTTAGTGGTCTAGCATACACGAACAGATCCACTTAGCACGTGGGGAAAGGGTCAGTCCAATGCTGCACACCCAGATGGTGTGCTGCTGGTGAGACCTGGACACTGAAGCATACACATTGTTAGCCACAGTAGCAGCCGCTGGCATAAGCAGCCAGCACAAGGCCCTTCTGGAAAAATCAGTCCATATCCTGTGCTGAAGAGATGTAGGGAGATCTGCCCTCACAGAGATCCATCTCCAGCTTTTAGTGTCTGAGGAACCTCACACTACTACTGAAGAGAACATGAACCAGAGCCCCATCAGCAGAGAGATCCTTTTCACAAGGTCAGTGGTGACCATGATTACCACCAAGAGTCCAGAAAACTGGTATTGACCAAGTGTGGCTATTAGGTACTGAACTGAGGTAGCCCCCCACCCTCTCAGTCAACTGGAGAAGTCCCCTGCTCCCTGCAGACAAGGGCCCTGGGGAGCAGACAGTGCTGTGAAGAGACACAAGGGATTGGTAGCAGCTCTCCGACACACAGAGATGGGAGAAGAAAGTGTGTGTGGGGGGGGTGTTTGCAGGTCACAGCTGAGGAGGGGCATCCTCAAAGGTGATGAGACTAGACTCCTGGCTGGCTCCTTTTCCTGCAATGCTGGCATCTCGGCCGCTCTCCTCCTTCTCCGGAAGCAGCGGGATGTCCTCCTTGGCACCCTCCTCTTCATCATCCTCCATGCTGGGCCACACTGATTGGTCTTCCACACGTTTCAACCGCTCATTCAGCGCTTTCAGGGCCAGTTGTCTGCAAGACAAAAACATGCAGGGTTAACACAGGCTTAACCTCACTGCACTTGGACAAGAAGAGTACATTGTTGCAGTGTGCTGGCCATTTCCTGGGTATTGCAGGCATCTCTCCCCATGCTTGCGTAAGCTAACTCTCCAGCCCAATTAGCCAACTACATGGCAGGAACTCCCAAGATGATCACTGTGCTAAGATTCCTCCTGCCCTTGTGTTCTCTGCCTTTTTCCTCTACCTTTTCTATCTCAGCTTGTGTTCGAGCAATCTCTTCCCCACTCATCACAGCTACAATCCCAGCTGAGGGACAGACACTGGTCCTTACCTGCTGCATCTGCCAGAGCTAAGAACATCAGCTCCTCAGTGCTTTCACCCCCCTGCCAGCTCAGGCATCCCAACAAACATCAGGCAGCTCTCCACTCCTCTCAGCTCAGACCCCTCTCCCAGCAATTTCAGGTTCCTGTGAAGTGTTTACTACTTTACCCCTCCACTAATAAGCATCTTCCTATGGTTAATCACTCCTATTAGGGAGCTGAAGCTGTGCCTCTTAACCTTCAGTATATAGCCTATTGCTAGCATGAACAGTAGGATTTTATTTTATTTTCACTTGGCTGCTTTTGCCCAGGAGACACCATGGGCAGTAGTGGGAGCACTAACAACTATTCCAGGCAGCAATGCCTTTTATGTGAATTTTGATACAGCAATCCAGTTTAGACCAGTGCATCCAGGACAGAGGTATTTCTCATTCTACAAGCTACAGTGAACCTTGATCTCATACCTAAGGGCCCAGACCTGTCAGAACACCCAGTTTTGCACTGGAGGTTCAGACTGGCTTCTAAGAAACCTATTAGGACAACCCTGTGACATCAGGAGTCAGTCATTTCCTCTGCAGTCCACCCAACAAGGTCTGCTTTCAAGGGAACCTGCTGGAGAATATCAGAAGGCTGCAGCTCAGCAGAAGATGACTGCCTTCCCTCCTCTTTTGCCTGTCACATTTGAGTTGTGGTGCTGGTGGAGCACCAGAAAAGACAATAACTCACCCATGAGCACTGGTTAATGCTTAGCTTATCCTTCCAGTGTCAGCATTATCCTTGAAGTTAATCTCCACTCACCAGCCCCTCAAAAGGGAATCCCTGCAGAAAGATTCTCAAGCAGGCAATGCCAGATTATATTTGGTACAGGACTGTGCGCCTCCACCATTCCTCCAGTGTTACCCAATGCTCAGTGTCACCTCTTCTTGGGAGAACCTCATCTGGACTGCTCCTGTGCACACCACCACTTCTCCCCTAGCATGGCAGCAAGTACAGCTGCAGAGTATGCCCAGGATCCTTGCTGTCAGTTTCACTCCTGCTGCAAACAGGAATTTTGGTAGGAAGGACAGTGGCTTGATCCCAAGGGAGAGGGAGAAGTGAAATACGGGAAGAAGTCAAAGGAGATGGGGAAGCCTAACAGGTCAAGGAAATGGCACTCAGAGCCAGTGACAGTGCACACACCCAGGAAAAGGTGTGGCGCCTTGTGTTCTTTGGCCAGAAGAAACTGGGAGCGCTAGTGAGATAATGTATTCATTGCTTAGCAGTGGGACATGACAGTAACTCATTTAGACTGAGTAAAACAGAAAGGAGAGGGGGAGTAGTAGAGATCATCAATAGGATAACTACCAGCAAAAACAAAAGAAAAGGAGCAAGACTGCAGTGAAGGGGGGAAAAGTAGAAAAATGAGAGCAGGTATGTGTAGGAAGGGGTGGATGGTGCAAGGCAAAATCCAAAAGAAAATGAAGGCAGAGGCACTCCCAGGAAAGTTTTGATATCCAAGGATCCTGACCCATGAACATTTAAAAATAACTACTGTGAAGTCTGAAGAACTCCTCCTCAATTCTCCTTCAAACTGAGCTCTCACCAATCCCTGCAAAGTGATATTAACCCTATCCAAGCTACAATACAGGTCTGTTAAATGCAGAAATGCACCTCTAGAGTAGTTCCAGTCCCACCCCTTCCCCCAAGTCTCAAAGGCAATTTAAGTATTCCTACTACTCGGGAAGCCAGGTCAGAGACATTTACTTCAAATGCTGGCAATGGCATCTAGAACATTTTTATTTTATTCATCTAAACAAGCACATTTGTTCTCAGAGTCAATGGTGGATTGAAATATAATCCGCATTGCAAAGCACTTGCAGAGTTTCTGCTCTGAATTTGCGCTGGCCACTAACTCCTATTTGCTGTGCTGCAATGCACAGGAGCTCACAATCAGTAGCAAAACCAAACTCTAGAATGTAAAATGCAGCCAGAAGAACCAGATGCCTTCCAGTTCTTATTCCTTTTTTCACTACCCAACCACATACTCAGAGCTTGCTAAACCCTCTCACTGCATGCAGGGGCAGGAGCTGAAGAAGCAATTTTCTCAGCCCTAGGGGCAAATTCCCAGTGAAGCGAGGGGAGAAGCATGCTGGCAGAATAACTGGGAAACCTGCTGCTGCTCATTAAATCCCCATTTCTTTGGACAGAGGACTTTAGTCTCATCTCCTAGGCTGTTAAGCTAGCTGCTTTGCAAGCACCAGAGTTGCTTAAAAATCACCTCCAAAAAAAGCCTTAGCATATCTTTCATTGGGAAAAATCCCACATTTATCTCCTGGGACAAGGGGGGACTAAATGGACCTTAATACAGCTCTATCAACTAATGCCTATAAGAGCCACCAGAGACCCCACCCAACACCAAGGGATCATCCTAGAGCTCGCTGCCCATCAACACCTCAAGGCATCTAATGGAGATTCATTTGTTTCCTCCCCAGTTCACTGGGGGGGGAGGGGGGGGAGACACAGATGACACACACCGCACTTCAGCTCTGGTTCTGCTGAAGGAAGAGGATGCTCTTCCATTAGCAAAGATCTAGCATGGAGTTTGCTTTTTACCAAAGGATAATTAACACTAGGATGGACCATACATCCTGGTCTAGCCTGGACAGTCCTGGATTTCAGAGGCCAGTCCTGGCTGGCTGCTGGGAATTAAAGTGAGTGTCCCAGAGACAGCAGTGTGGAGGCAGTCAGGCAGGGAGGTGGAGCAGGCACTGCTGTCTCCCACCCCCGCCTCCGCCTCCAGCTGTGCCTGTGACTTGGGAGAGCTGGGCAGGTGGAGAGGGGCAGCACTCCAGATGTCCCAAATTTCCTTATGGTCAGCCTAACTAACCCCCTCAACAAGGCAGATCAGAGTTGTTGCACCTCTGCTGAGAAATGTCAGATCAATTGTTGCTACCACAAAACATGTAGAGGATCAGATGCCCTTTATTACCTTTAAAGAAAAGATTTTTTTCATATTCCATCCTTATCCCAGTCACTCAAATGACAGTCATTTTAAACCTGATCCAGGTGCTCATGGCCTGGACTGGAGGAAAATTCTGTGCAGCTTGCAAAATGTTATACATCATTCTTTGCTTCACTGTGCAAATCCATCAGATACTCAGGACAAATGGTTGCCATTCTAGACAGGAAGTTCACATCATTCTATTTGCTTCTTTGCATTTTGTCTAGGCTCTCAGCCATATGCCATGGCCTGTACACTCCAGTTATATGGGAAGACCAAGGCTCAACTGAAATTAGTTCTATGATGCTGCACTTGGACACCCCCCCCAAAGTTGTGTGCACAGTGCAATTTAAGCTACTGATGTGTCACCAGGGAGGAAGACTTGAGAGACCAGTGCCTGTATGAAAGAAACTAGATAAAGCACTCAGTGCAAAGCACAACACAGGAGAAGGGAAACACACAATGCCCGCCTGCTCCAGGTAGCAGAATGTCCTGCCATGTTTGTATTCTGTTAGAGTCACAATTGATTCTATATCCTCCCATACACTGCTTTCATTGCAAGCCTTTCAGTAGTTAAGCAAGTGTCAGCCCCTCCAGACAAATCCAGCATGATACCCAGCTCTAGGATGGGACAAGATCGTGTGAACAGGGTCTTTCACAGACAGGCACGAATGCTGAAGAGCTTTCCTCTTCAGCAGATTCCAGCCCTGAAAAAAAAATCTCGGCTCCAGCTCACTGGAAAACATGCACATATGGTTCTTATTTTAAACTTTTGCTGTTGCAACTGAGCCAATACCACTCCTTTCTTCAGACACACCAGCAAAGACTTCTCTCATTTCTCCATATGCAGGGTAAACAAGCCCCTAACTCCCCCAGAAGACACCTGCACTAAGGTGCACGCTTTGGCTCAGATAGGATGCTCAGGACACCTGTCCCAACAGCTGTAAATAGGAGGACTGCAATAGTTTCCATAGCCGAGTACACAGAGCAGCCAGCTAAGCTCCCAGTGAATAATGCTAGTTATTTGCTTTCCCACACTAACCCTCTACTCCTCCTGGACCTGTTGTCTTATTTCAGCTCTCTCTCACCCCCCCTCTAGCACTCTCTCTCAGTTTTCCCCTACTTTAATCCCTTCTGGCCTGTGAGACCACCTTCCAAAAGGAGCTAAGATGACTCCCATCCGACCTGCCTCAGAGGGGTTGCTGAAACAATAGAGGCAGCTTTCTGCCTTACTTGTGTAATCAATCCCAACACACAATCTACAAACAAGATGCCAGGCAGACTGGCGGGTGGGGTTCCCTGCAGAGGGTGACTGTTTCAGTCTGAAGTCTGATTACAGGCTTTACCTTGGACAGAAAGGATAAAACCCTCTCCCCAGTCCTTCTACCTCCAATTCTGATAAGACTGTTCCACTGCACCAAGCAACATGCATTGATTGTTGCTTTCTGGAAAAGTCAGAGACCACCCAGATGAACAACTGGGTGGAGAGGTGTGGCCAGTCCAAAGGCCTGATTCTATAAGCACTTTCAGCTGACTACAGTGGAAGGAACGGGGTGCAACTGGGTCCAGAAATGCACTTATTACTGTTCCCTCCTCCACATCCTGAATCATCAAAAGCAAATCCAGGGTAATAAGCTGACCATTCTTTTCAGTGGTCTTCAGCTCTGTTTCACATTGAATGCTCTAAGCTGTGACTTGAGACTTATTAAATCAAATCTCCCCTGAACACAGAGCCTGTGAGAAATCACCAACAGGCAAAAAGCCCTGCAGCTGCTCAGATTACTGCTGTCTGGCTCAGTCTATCAGAAGCTTTTGTCAGCTGCAATTACCCCAAACAGGACTAACCTGAATATATGGAAATGTTTACACAAGGCAGACAATAAATGCAAAATGCCCGGTCTCTCTCTGGAAATTTGTTAAATCAAAACAAATTGTACATCAGGCACCACTGACTTTAGAAGTTTAGAAAAAGAGGGTACAAATCCCCTGGAAAAAATAAGAGTGTTTAAGATCTTGTTTTAAATGCTGTTTTACCAACCCAAACAGCTATTTGTGCTAATGCAAGACAGCCATAAAATAAGAGTGACTAACAACGTGAAACTGACTCAGCTAATCTCACCAATGAGAGGGGGAGGGAGAGGGGGAGAGAGCACCAGCGAGCGGGCAGGCACTGGGGCAAATTACAGCCTGCAGAGACTTAGGAACATGCTTACAATTCTCCCATTGATTTCAAGGGGAATACTCCGGCACTGACATGACAGTTGAATGTGCAGGTTCACAGGGGCTAAATTATTAAAGTAAACAAGAACCTAAGTTAAGTATCAGGAAGAAATAAATGGTTTTAGAATTAAGCCTCAACTGCTTCCTTCAAATTCTTCAAACCACGAGCAGAATGACCCACCAGGGCACTGTAGTGGGTTTTCCTGCTTGTGGGACCCATTCTGGTTTGATGCCAGAAGGCCTGCTCTTTTCAGTAGCATCATTTTTCTCTGCACTAGTTGCACCACTTACCCTAGAAGTAGCAGTGGTGGGAATACTCGTATTTGACAGATCTGCCCTCATAAGAGCCTGAAGACACAATGCTTAAAATTCAGCTGCATCACAGCAGCATTCCCACCACTTTTATCTTCACTTGAGCCTCATCAGGAAAAGCCTAAGACATCCTACAACATAAAGGAATCCCTCAGCATTAGACAGAGCCCTAGCCTCAGACCTTGGCGGAGAATGGTAAGTAAAGGACAAATGCATCGTTAAATACTCCCTTGTAAAAGGAACCCTTTTTATAATATCTACAACTATTTGGGGCTACTTGGAACCACAAAGTTTGACTGTGCTACCAGAGCTCCTTCGTTCCCTTCTGCAGGTATCTAGAGCTCATGGTGCCCGAGCAGATAAGGTAAGCGTGGAGCAATCCTATACCTTCTCCTCTCAGCATCCTGGGGGTCCGTTCCAGGCAAGCTGATGGTGATGGATGAGGGAGCACCAACATCGTAACGCTTCACTGTCTTGCGGCAGACTTTCACCTTCACCAAGACACCATGCACCAAGTTGGCCACGAGGCCGACCACGGGCTGCAGGATCTCAGGGAAGAACGTGGCGAAGGCAAAGTGGTCCGACATGTCCCCACGGCCCCGACTGTGCCGCTGGTAGAAGCGCAGGTAGACCCAGCTGGAGAGGACGCCAAAGCCGTAGGAGGCCAACACGGCACCCTCAATCAGGGTGGTCAACCGCAGCACGGCCAGCACCAGGAGCAGGAGCATGGGCACGGCCTTCATGCGCACCTGCGGCACCTTCAGCACCGTGCTGTCCCCCATGGTCTGCTTGAGGGCCACCAGGACACCACCAAGGAAGCCAGCTGTGCCGTGCAGGCGTACGGTGAACAGGTAGGCCAGGTTGAAGGATGCCACGTAGGTGAGCAGGTAGGCAAAGGCCCCCAACACCCCCACCGACACGCTGACCACGGCGAAGAAGACAAGCAGCTCCAGGGCCCCCCACAGCGGCTCCAGCAGCCTCCCCGCCGTCGCCAGCGTGGCCAGGCTCAGGCCCACGCCCCACGCGTGCCGCTCCACCAGCCCGTGCGTCGCCAGCGTCCACACCCAGCAGTTGGGCGGGAAGAGGTAGCCAGGCGTCACGCCGAGCGCGGAGGCCGTGTCGGCCGCGAAGGACAGCGCGTAGAGCAGCAGCACAGCCCCGCACAGCGCCTTCACCGCCACGCTCGTGCCGCCCAGCGCCGCCACGCAGTGCTGCCGCGCCACCGGC